TAATGAATTTCAATGTTTAATTCGATTTCATCTTGACAAAATGAGGAAAGAAAGATTGCATGCGAGAAGTTCGTTTTTTTTTTGTCTTGATTAATGAGTACTTGATTCATTTCTTTGTTTTTTAAAAATACTCAATATGTTGTTGAATGAACTGGCTTATATTGACAAGTCAGTGCTTGAAAAGTTATTACAGCTGCATTACTCGAAGGTTCGATGTTCGTTATAGTAGTCAATGAGGAGAAATGTAGAGGGAAAGAAAGAATCTTTTTAGATCCATGATGTACATACAAATTGTTTAATATCATTGAAGAGAGTTGTTTATGAAAAATTTGATTTTATTGAAACTTTAATGACAATTTTGTATTCATATGTCCGCATACAGAATCTGTTGATGGATGATCAAATAAAGTGTTAAATTAAACCAGAAGAAAAACAATTTTTTTTTTGTATTTTATTTTCATTGGATGGATGAGATGAATGTCAAGCTGAAAATAATAATATTTTATCATCAAATGATACTTCTAAAGTTATATTTTTATTTTTTATTTTTAATGAATAAGTATGTTTTTGTCGAAACGGATCGATAACAGTAATTGGTAACCTAAAATAGACCGGTGTTAATTTTCATATTAGAACAGCAAATGTTTCAGTTGGTGATATTGCTGTTCTATTGAAGAAAGACGTTAGCAATGTTTTTATTTGTATTTTGTTTATTGAAATAAAATTTGTTGTTTAGACTAAATATGAACAAATCTGTGTTATTATTATAGTAGCTGCGAATAGTTCAGTAAAGCGTATTTTGACTTATACTAATGATCAGATTGTTTGAACACATTTCATTGATGATAAAATTCATCTATTTTTTATGGTAAAGCCGATATCTTGTTGAATATCGAGTTTGTCAACTTATTCGATGAGATATTGAATAGTTCTCTGTAAAAGATATCATAGCTTTATGTTTATGTATGACAATAAAATGATGATGTTCGTTGTATACAATATATTGCGAAGAAACATCGCAAAAATAAGTTGATAAATCCTTCAAATAATTACAAAGTCGAAGCAACCAGTTTGATGTAATTTGACTCTCCATTTTCAGTCAACTTTTCATCTAGGGAAAAGACGTCTTTCGATTCAATATTTGACGGGTCGAGTTTGGATTATCGTATCCATAGATGTCTCTGAAAAAGGCTAAAAAGAATCATTTTGTTGTTCTTGAAATAAATTTGGATACATGTTTTTTTTACATCAATAAATTCAGTCAATAATGTTTGTTTAGAGAATATTTGTGTACGGTTTTTGAATAACTTTTCGATTGAAACAGAAAAGAAATGCACTCTAAAAATGATTCGAAATCATCGTCTTGTGAATCAAGGAGTTTTAACAAATTAAAATAAATTGAAACGAATTGCAGACTCACAATAATGTTCATTAATTAGAACTTTCGGACCATATCCGATCCATCATCAATGCCAGTTATCAATAAATTAGTTAATACCTATCGTACTGCATTTCATACATTAATTCTAATAAATAAATTAAATCGATGGGATTTGCACATTGAAACAAATTGAAATAAATTGTAGAACTAATTTATTAATAATTGGCACTGATGATGGGTCGAATACGGTCCGAAAGCTCTGCTCAATGAACATTACTGTGAATCTATTAATTTATCTCAATTTGTCTCAATGTGAGAATCCTATCGATTTAATTTATTTATTAGGTCTGTGCACTTTAACGTGAAAGAAAATTTGAAAAAAATAAATGCACAAAGAATTGGAAGAAAAGAGAATTTACTTAAACCTTTGTCGTTGACTGTATATATATTATATATATAAGTCATGTATGTCAATTATTTTCTATTAATAACTTTATTCGAAATAATTTGTTATAGAACATGTTAATAATAATTTATGTCTGACCAGATATTGATACTGAAGCACTTGATAACCTTCAATCTTTTTATTCGATATGATGTTTATATAACAGATCTAACGGATTTTTATATTAATTTTCGACAGATTAACAATGAAATAGAACATGAATTACACTAATCATCTTTTCTATCTAACAGTCATTATATTAAACATAAAAATAAATATTATGAGTATGTGACAATGCAATAGTTTCTTATGAAAAGAAAATGATAACAAATAAAATTGTATCAATGATTAAATAAAACATATTAATCCAGCAATAAAATGTGGATGGAAATTACACGTAAAAAAATTATATAATGGTAACTGATCAAAAGTATTTCATTATCTTGAAATCGATAGTGATACTATTTTTAATATTATGAAAGTAATGTCATCCGTTATCAAGTAAGAAAAATAAATATGTCGTGTTTCGTAGTTAAATTTCAGTTGTTTTCTAAGAGAATAATGAGAAGAGGTCAAAAAGAACTTTATGAATGATACTATATTGATGTATATCGAGCAAGTTTTCAAGACTATTTAGTCAACTTAAATGCTAAAATTTATTGTACATGAGTAAAACGCACTATTATAGTCATTTGGGTAGCAGAAAAACAAACTTTCTTACAAAAACCAATGTCCTATGTTTAAAAATTGTAACCGTTGACTTTTAAACAAATTAGCAGTTCTGAAGATTTATTCTTTGTGCATCAGTATAGTATCATTCATAAAGTTCGTTTTGACTTCTTGTTATTATTTTCTTTGATGACAACTGAAAATTATGGATGAAACGCTACGTATTTATTTTCTTTACTTGGTAACAGATACCATTGCTTTCATGATACCAACAATAATAGTTAATAGTAGTATTTACTTACCTTATTCGTAAACAAAAAAAAAAAATTTCGATAAATTTCTACCATCAAGCCAACGATCAGTCTATGTGATTGAACCAATGCGGAAATATTTCATTTTTTTTTAATCATAGTCCTATTTATAGATTATCCTATATGATAGTTATTTATACTCGCTTTAAATAATATCAACTTATATATAATGATAATTCTAATCAAGAGATATAATTAATGGTGGAAGATATATTATCTAGTCAAAATAGATTGACTCTGATTAGATTTCAACACTTCAAATGTAGATATTATCATGTCGGATTTTAACATTGTGAAATCAAGTATATTGAAGATATCATTTTGTTCTGTGGAACTCTCGGCTCATCTTTCCGTGGTGTAAGATGATTAATAAAGGTCCATATCCATTAGCAGAAAACGAAAAAAGTCAAGCAAGTAACTCTAATATTTATATTTCTCGCTTTCGCAATCCAATTACTTTCATCTCATACTAATCATGACCGTCATAGCTGAGTAACTACGTTGTTCGACACATATCCACAACATACTGTATTCAAATCTCGGTACCAGTACTCATGGAATGATCCTGGACAAGTCATCGCCGGCTGTTTATCTCGGACCACGCGTCCGATAGAATGCTGACTACGTTGTGACATACACCTACTCTTGTAGTTAGTTAGTATGTATAGAGAGTGCAAGAACTTTGCTTCAGGCCGATCTTCTGTCCAGGACTACAGCTAGTATTAGTTGTAGGATAGATACCGGACTAACGAATCTGTCATTAGGCAGCACCCAATACCGCAAGATAGTCGAAAAGCAGGAATATTCTTCTTTCCGATACTCATCGTACGCGAACTACTCGTTCTTATATCTTTTCTTTGATTACAGCATTTTGTTTTCATTATTTAAAACAAAACATTACTAGAATTAATTATTTTATTTCTATTACAGGACAAAAAACATCAGACAATAGCACACACAAGATTAAGGATAATATATGGATTTAATTTTTGCAAACATTTGAACAAAAAACTGAAGATACAACAATAAGAAAAGAAAAAGATTCCAAATGACACGAATAGGTTGCTGTTTGTCTGTAATAATTAAGGAAAACGAAACAAAAACAATCACAAAAGAAAACAACCATAAAAAACAAAAACAAAAGATTCAACTTTCATGAAATGATGTTGATTCTTATGAATTTGATATATTATTAGGAGAATTTGATGGCAACCATCGTGTCTTGTAATCGTTTAGACCAAAACCCACTGAATAATTTCCTTTCATAGCAAATAATTGAAGAAAATGAGGTTTACAATAAATATGTCCATTGTTTGCTGTATAATTGCCAAGTCTAAACAAAGAAAAAATGAAATATAAATAGAAGAATTTTGTCAACATTCAAAAATGCCCAATAACATGCTCTTGAGTCCACACAGCAAAAGGGGCAGAAAAGAAAAAACAAAACCCTACGATTAATTATTGATGAATTGCATTTTTATTTTTTCTAAAATAATATAAAACATGTAGATTATTCTATTTAAATACTTACTTTAATATTGATTTACAATGCGTACATTTAAAACATGATTTGTGATAAACTTTTCTATCTGCTTCGATCTATAAATAATTATTTATTAGAATATGAAATAGAAATTAAAGTTTTTTTTTTTGTTTACTTTTTCCATGGCATAAACTGTTTTATGACAGTCAAAACATTTTGTCGAATCAACACTTGATTCAGTATTAAATTGTTTAGGTGCAGGTGTATTCTGAAAAATACAATTAAATATAGAATGTCTTGATCTAAATAAATATCTATAAAATGACAGAATTTCTCGATATCCTGATTGACGAGGAAATGTTTACAAATGATCAATCGCTTTCTCATAAAAAACTACTGGATTATCGGTTATCGACCATGTTGATTTTCTAGAAAAGCAGTTGTCTGGACTAAAAAAATTTCGCTAAAATTGTTATTGATCTACTAAGATTATAGAACATGTTGAATTGTCTATAAGTCAATAAACTCTTCTGTTTTTCAAAGTTGTGTTTTAAGTAAAATAATATCATCTTAAAGATTTTCAAATTAAAATATTGATATGTATCATTGATGTCCATCACAGCGGAAAATCTACTGCTGCCGCAATGTTTTTCAACAAAACTCTTTGAAAATTTCTTCCATCCCTGTACTAAATTAGCATAGTTCGATTGAATTCATCAAATTTCAGCACGATTCGGACTCATGAACTTGTAGATGCTCAAATTGGATGCAAATTCATGTAACTTTACAATCTCTCTAAAGAAGAAACTGCCGCTGTCGTCCCAATGACTGCGACAGTACCACCATGGACATCACTGATATGTATGTGTTGTATGAATTAAAATGACCGTATTTTCTGCATAAAAAAATTGATGTAACACAGAAAAAAATTCTTTTTTTCTAGACAGTTAGATATACTCTACAATTTGAATAGATCAAAACAAAAAAAGATTTTTCGGGAACAATTTATTAATCTTGAAAATCGACTTTCTAAGAAAAACCAGCATGTAACAACCTAAAGATATTTCTCATGATTAGCTTTTGTTTAAAAAGCGATTGATCAATTGAAAACGTTTCCTCATGAGAGTAATTTTCTAAACATTACCATGCAGGTCGAGTTCAGTGATTCGAAAAAACTAGAATCGAAATCATTAAATCATCAGATACATACAAATATTCTTGAACTTATATAATAGTGAAAATTTCTCCTGAAGGATATGGTAGTTTAGTGTAATTCTTTAGTCTTAAATAAACAAAAAGACATACCACAAAACGTTTTGGTACATATTTAATTTTTGATGATGCTGTTTCAATTTTACGTGCATCTTGTTCAAATTCAATAAAACGATTTTTTAATGATTTTGCTTGTCCTTTATTTGACATAATCTCTTCATTATTTGAATATTGTTCAATTATACTAATACCATCATATGGAGGAGTTATTGATTTTCTAAATTTGGTTTTTTTTTTTTCTTTAAAGAAATGAATATTATTTTTTCATAAATGCTTACCTTCGATTAGTATCTAATGATTCAGGTGGTGGTGTAAATTGTTTAAGTGTTTTTCTTTTATTTATTACATGAGTTTGTTCAACATTTTGTAAGAATCTAGAAAATACAATTATTATTCGTATTTATATTTCATAAATTATGAATAATAGAAATAAGATTTCCAATATTAACATGCTTATCTTTACTACAGTATGATATGTTATAGAATATGGAAAAAAAAAATGTATATATATATAAACAATCCTATACCTTTCACGAACAGATTTTGCATGACCTAATTCAATATTTGCTTTATCATCTATATAGTATGACTTTTGAGAATTAATTTCATTCTGAAAAAATAAAAAAATATTAATATTAATATTAATATTATGATGATGTGTATGTCAAGAATGTTGATCATTTATTTATCTTAAATCCATCAACTTACATCTTCAGGAGGTATTATACGCAGTTCATTATCTGCTGGTGGTGTAATAGGACGTGGACCACGTCGTTCAGGTGGTGGTGTATTTTCTTTATCTATTGTTTTCCACATTTGAACAAGATTTTTTGCTTTACCTTAGTTTAGAAATAGAAATATTTCTTTTCTTCTAACTATAAGAATTATTAAATACCTTGTTGAACAACTTCAGCATCATGTTTAATATATCCATTAGATTCATCTCGTTCAGGTGAAATTTGTTTTATTTTCCATTGTTCAACAAGTTGTTTTGTTTGACCTTTTTCAAAATAAATCTCTTCATTTTTATCACTTCCACGTACAATATGTCCGTTCTCCTATATTATATAACACAAAAGTAAAATACTATGTTGTATAAAAAATAAAATTACAAAAAATTAATTCTAATTAGTATATATTGTGCTTATAATTAGTAAAATATATTTTAATAATAAAGAAGAATTAGCAAAAAAAAAAAAACGAATGATTATATATTTATTTTTCTGAACAAACAAACTCAATTGGTTACTTACAATTTTCATGTATGACATGTGTATATTTTTATTTTGCTCATTCGACTTATGCATGTATGTTGTTCAACTGAATATCTCTCTTGTCGATGTTATCATTTTTCTTTCTTACAAATGACAGAGAACGGATGATAAATATCTTTTTCTTTCTAGCTCTTTTTTTTTTCTTGCCAAGTAGAAAGAGGAAAAAAAATATATGAATGAACGCTTACATGCACTCGACCCACTAAACGATTGAAGGTCATCTTCTTAGGCTTTTTCTTTTACGTAACTACCACTATGTCTTTTCTTTCTATCCAACTACTAGTTCACTAATCGAATAGAATATGTAAAATGTACATCGATTACTCAGTAACTGTAAAAGTTAACTTCATCAATCACTGAATCTGTCTAATATATATGTAGGTCGCATAGGGTTACCCGGAACATATATCTATTCATTTTTTTTTTCTTTCTTTTGTGTTATTCTTCTATTTTTTAACACACTGAAAAAAAA